CTCGAAGTTCTAGTCGGAACGCACCGCGGGAGAGGTCTGGGGAGTCACCGCATCGGGTCTCTTCGGTCTGGACCAGAGCGGGTGCCCTTCTCCAATGGGGGCGGAGCGAGGGCGCGAGGGCGCGAAGATCATCGCGTGTCGCGGGGCGCACTGCGCGAAGTCGGGCGACCTATGGACCTCGAGGGACCTCACCGTGCGGTCTGTTGCCAGGCGGCCTCGGGGACCTATTTTTTGAGGGGTGTTCGCGGGTGCTCGAGGCATCCTCGAAGAGGACGAGGCCCAGGCCCCAACACGCCCCGGTCCAGGGCATCCGACGATGTGACTCCTCTCAGTCCGCGGCCAACAGAGATGCCGACCATTTCCTCAGGGGCCAAGTGTTTCAGCCCAGATCTGTGTTTGGCGGTCCTGGGGCCTGGCCAGGGCTTCCCCGAGAGCCGAACACCATTGCGTCTTGACTTTGACTCGAGGCGCTGGAGGCTTGGGGATCGTTTGCTCGGATCACTTGTTTGACTCGCCAGACCGTGTGGCCACAGGACTTGCTGTGGGGACTCATCGGCAGGGATAACAAGAGTGTCAATGACACGTGCGTCGTCTTCCAAACGGCGCGCGCTGTTCAGTCGCATTGTAGTATGAAGCCCTGACGCGTTTTTCAAAAGTGGCACGGTCATGAGGTCGTCCGACTGATGACACGGTCGGGAAATTTTGGATCGCTTGTCGCTCCGCCAGTTCTGGCCCACCACGCTTCGGCGCGACACGCTATCCACTTCCGGGTCCCCAAGCGTCAACGTGTCGAGCCTTCCCCAGCCTCCCGCCCCGCGGAGCAGAGCGACACGCTTTCTGCTCGCATGGCATAGCGTGTCGCTGGTGCCGCCGTGGCGTCACGCTGCGCAAAAGTTCCCGACTGTACCTTGTTTGCCCTACGAGCCCCAGGGGGCTGGTCGGCGGCGAAATCCGCAGCATACCCTCGCCGATCAAAGATCTGGGCAACTCGATGGGCGGCGGGGAGAGGGTTCGGAATTCGTCGATCTCGTGGCGAAATCCGAGCGTGCCCCCGCCTCCCATCGATTCAGGAGAACCGATGGTTGGCGGAGGCAGGGTTCGGATGTCGCCACCTAGCCTAGGGCCTAGGGGCAGATCGGTGGCGAACGAGGGTGGGAAATGGGAAGGACCAGGCCTTCTCAGAGGGCGGCGGGACCCTTCTCAGGAGCCCTCGCGCCTGCTGAGAAGTGTCCTGTGCCTGCGAGGAGGGCGCCGGGGGGGCCTCGAGCCTGCTGAGAAGGCCTGGCCCTTCCTCTCACTTCTCCCCCGGGCGCGCCGCCCAACCCTACCGAAGGGCAGGGCCGCCCGGTGTGCAAGGCACTCCGGGGCGTCTCTCCAGGGCCTCCTGAGGGAGGGGGGTGGTCGGATGTTGCTCGAAGTGCCCCCTGGCCCGAGGTGCCCCCAAGATGTCCCAGGAGGCCCCCACGGCCTCCAGAGCAACCCCTACGAGGCCCAGAGGGCCCCAGGGGCTCCAAAAGTCGAGCGAGAAGCTGAGAGGCACCTTGGGCCAGGGGCACCTTTCGCAACGCCCACGGGGGAGTCCGGGCCGGGCCCCCTGCTCCGGGGGCCTGCTTCGGCAGATCCGCTTGATGGGCCGCTCGGGTGGGCTCCGGCAGCTGCGGGGGCCTCGTGATGTCCGCCCGTGCGTGGGGGGGGGGGGGACGAGGGGACGAGGGGGGGGTGGGCGCGTTGAGTACTGTCGCAGAAGAAAAAGCGCCATAGACATCAACTTCCGACTCTCGGCGCGGATTTCTCCGACGCTCTGCGCTGGGCCATCCCTGGCGGCGCCTCCGGCGCCGCCCCTGGCGCGCTCCGCGCGCGCCAGGGGGGGGGGGTCCAGCGCAGATCCCAGAAATCAGCGCGGAGCGCCAGAAGTTTAGATTGGCATTGATTGTTCTTGTTCTATATATATATATATCTATATATATATATATATATATATATATATTGGGGGGGGGGCGTTGAGCAGTCCGGGCGAAGACAGGTGCACCTTTTGTGCCCGGAAGGGGCACGGAAAGTGCACAGCACGCTTCTCTCTCCCCCAGTGGTCGCCCCCCCCCTCGTGGAGCTCGAAGAGCTCAAGCTGCTCCAGCGACCACAGGACTTCCTGTAAAGTTATGACCACGTTTTTTTTCTGGTGGTGGCAAAACACGCGTGTCGGGCACCCCGGTCAAGCAGCTATTCAAGGATTCCCTTCAATCATCTGCTCCTCCATCCTCGCCGCAGCCGACTGGGAGGAGGGCAAAGCAGCACCGCATCCACAGCCCACTACATGAAATGCACGGACTGGACGACGTTGCTTTCACGAGTGAGCTGCAGCATCAAGCTCCAACGCGCCAGCTGGACGCCCATGGCACTCAGCAGGAAGATAGAGCCAAAGGTGAAAGCGTGCCGTTGACCTCAACTGTTGGGGAGATGGACGGATTCACCGTGGGGCAATGTTCACAGATACTACGTGTAAAAGAACAGCCTATCCTTAACGGCATCCAGGCCATAAAGAAGCACGGAGTTTCTCAACAATACCTTCGGGATGCAGTGCAGGCCTTTCGTACGGCCATCAATGAGACTACTTACAGGGGACCAGCTCTCGAAGCTCACCCGTCATACCCAGCATCTGTTGGCATTGGGTCCGCACGGAGCGTGGACAGCAGTGGAGGTGAAAGCCAACGAGCTCGAGCGCCAAGTAGCGGCACTGCCACGAGTTGACATATGGAAAGCAACGCAACATATGGAAAGCAACGCAGTTGTAAGAGGTCTGGGCGATTTCGAAAGTATGGAGGCGGCGGAGGAGGAGGAGGAGGAGGAGGAGGAAGGGAGGAGGAGGAAGGGAGGGGGGGAGGAGGGGGCGAAGGAGGAGGACCAGTGTAAACCCAAGCCGCATCAACCATATTGCAATAAACCCTCTCTCCAAGTTTCCTCTTCACATGCGCATGCAATGCTTCTTTCGTCACTGGAGGAAGCTCCCAGTTGGAAAACAACCGGTTGAAAATATTTACGTAGCTGTGCCAGGGCACCGTTCTGCGGACTTCAACGCCGCGAATCACCGTCATCGTTGCGTCTTGACGGTCCTGGATCGTGCCACAAAACCATTCCTGGGACGTCAACACCGCGAATCGACGTAATTGTTGCGCCCTGACAGTCCGCCATCGTGCCAAAACGCAGTTTCTGGCACATTAATCAGGAGACTCCGTGAAACTGTTGAACAAGTATTCAAACGAACGCACGGCCAGGACGAGAGCCACATTTTGAAAAGGAGCCGCCCTCCATCCATGAAGCTCCCGCAAATGGTAAAACAACGAATGTGCGCGGTGGTAAGGCGAGAACAACCATCCGTGGCACGCTTTAAAAACAAAAAAACAGTATAACAAAGAGAGAGGAAAGACGAATGCGCGCGGCGCTGAGGCGAGAGCCATATTTTGAAAACCACCGGCCCTCCATCCGCGAAGCTGGTGCACCTTTCAAAGACGGATGTGCGCGGCGCCAAGGTGAGAGCCACATTTGGAAGAAAACACCCTCATTCCGTACAACTTCTGCAGTTGTTTAGGACGGATGCGCGCGGCGCCAATGCGAGAGCCACGCCGTGAAGGCGACCTGCCTTCCATACGTTAAACGGTTGCAAAGTGTAAGCTTCGTGATCATACATGCCGAGAAATTCCCAGGCTAAACGCCCGGCCGACCTCGGGTTGCGACAGGCAGGAGTTATCTAATGTATGAGGGAAAGGAATGGAGGACGATGCAGCGGGGGGAGTGCCAGCCCTTTCCTCTCTGTTGGCGCCGTCTTCCTCGCCATCCTCCTACTTCTCCTCCACCTTTTACGTTAAGCAAGCCCGAGGTGAAAACCTGTGGCGTTCTAACCTTTCTCCACCTCCTCCTCCTCGTCCTTCTCAGAAGGACGAGGGGGAGAGAGGGGGATGGGGAGGAGGTCAAGAAGGAGAAGGTGGGCGAAGGAGGCGGCGGAGGAGGGAGGACCGGCAGGGGGAATGGAGAGCGGGATGAGGAACAGAGTGAGCATCAAGAGGGTCAACGTGGGGAGCAGGAGGGCGAAGAGGACGGGATGCGAATTCCTGAGGCTGAGATCCAAGGACGAAGGGCTTTCTGTGATCGAAAAGCGAAGCGTCTCGTCCTTGCCAGGCTCTGGCGTCGTTTACAGCGATCTCTCGAGATGGCTCCTGCGATTTTGTGTCGGATTCATCAATGCGGCCCTCGTAATCCATTTTTCCTCCTTTCCTTCCTTCGTTCTCCCCTCTCTTCTCTCCAGTCGTCCTCCCTGTCTTTCCGCCTCCTCATCATCCTGATCATGGGGTTGCAGATCTACCCGTCTCAATCGTTTAAAGGGGTGCAATCCACCCTCTGTTTCCCCCATTCCTGCTTTGGCAGGGTCCTCCTATTGAGCGGAGCACCTGATGCTCCTCCACCTCCTCCTGCTTCCTCTTCCCCTCCTCGCCGTCTCCTCGCTTCCTGTTCGCTGCTTCCTCGCTCAATTACCCTCCCTCGGCGCTGCCAACTGCGCAGCTGTCGGCACGCTCGTGCGCGCCTGCGAAGTCCAGCGGGGTTACGCGCTGCGCACACCCAAACTAGACCTCGGCTCCCTAGGTGCCACCAGCTCCGAATTTGTCGGCACTTTGATGCGCTCCTGGGAAGTCCGGCGGAGTGACGCCCACTGCGCTGCCGTCGGCACTGTGGTGAACTTCCGGGACGTTCGGCGGAGTGATACGCTATGCAGACCCAGCCTACACCTCGCCCTCCTGGGCGCTGCCAACCGCCCAACCGTCGGCACTTTCGTGAGCACCTGGGAGTACCAACAGCGCGACGCACCATTCTTGCATTCAAGCTATTGTGCCCTTCCGTTGGTGATGCCAGTTGCGCTGCGGTTGGCACTGTCGTGAGCTCCTGGGGCGTCCGGCGGGATGACGTCTACGCACATCCACACTACTACTCCAGTCCAGTTTCGTTTTCGCCGGGTGCGGTTGCCATGCGTCTAGTGTTAATTGGACCAGCCTCCCGGTATTCATGTCACATTCTCTCCCAGAGCGTTTCCCAGAGTATTTCTGCGGTAGATCGTCTGCGGGTCAAAGTTTCTCGCGTTGGCACCCCCATTGTCCCACCGACCTTTTCATGCTAGAGCATTTGATCCGAAGCAAACGGTTTATCAATCCACTTGCGTAGCACTTGTAGCATAGCTCAAATTTTCTACCTGGGCCCGAATTGAAATCGATTTGAACCGACATCGTGATCGCGGCATGTCAACATTTGATCATCCTGGGCCACACCCCTGGAGGTAACTAGACAGGAGGGCTTTGCAGGATGCTTGGGCAGTGAAGGAAGGTGCGTTCGCGGGCAGCCCAGAAGGTGCCGGATGAGGGAGGGGACCGGAGGGGAGGGCAGGGGGGGAGTCTGAGTGCATGGAGAGGGGAGGGGGAGGCGCTGGGGGCAGGGGACGGCAGGGGGCAGGGAGCCGGCGGACGTGGCAGGGGGGGGCAGCCGGAGCGAGTCGAGGGCACTGGGGGCAGGGCAGGGGGAGGGCGCGGGGCGCGCGGAGGGGGGAACAGGGCTGTGGCATGGGCTGGGTGGAGGGCCTCCCGAGAGCAGGGTGTCCTCGGCATCGCTCGGACGTGTGCGTCTTTTCCTCGGCGAGGACCATCGAGGAGCATCCTTGACCATTTGGCGAAAAAAAACACGCACGAACCCCCCAAAAAATACAGGGAATGGACGTCCAAGCGATGGCGAGTGTCCCGGGGCGCGCCCCAGGGGTCCCCCGGGGGGGTGGCCCCGGCGCGGGGGCCGCACTTGGGGCGCCGAGGCCTGCAGGGCGCCTCGGCGCGGCGCGCCCCTACGGAGGGGGCCCAGGCTCGCAGGCGATGTCTCGCCCCCCGAGCCCTCAAGCAGTGGCGGAGCGTCCTGGCTCGCCGATAGCCCTACCAAGCATTCTCCTAGGAACTTTTTTGTTGTGGCTTCCACGAAGTAGTCTTAGAACATGCCTGTTTTATATGGTCTTGTTTTATCACATCGGGCTTATGTTCTAAGAACATCGTTTTTGTTCTTAGAACATCGTTGGGTTCTGAGAACATTTCGTGGTATGACTATAGGAATGCCGGGACGGTCGGTCCCTGCTCAAATCCCCGAGCTCCCCTTACGTCGGGCATGTATACCCCTCTACAGGAGGAGTGTTCAGGCATAGCCACGACATGATATGGGGATCATTTTCCGATGTTCGTTTTGAGTATTTTTTGGGACAGGCTCTGAGCATTTTCAGTGTTTCGTCCAAGATCCGCCTGTAGGGGGGCATGCCCGACCTAAAGCTCCCCCCCCAAAGCCAGGCCGTGAGAACTCGGGAATACAGTCGGACCGAGGCTCAAGATCGAGGTCGGTTCGGGGAGGGTACCCTAGTGTCCTCGTGGCTCCTGGGGAGGGTGCCCTTAGAAGTTCAGTGTGTTTTGGCCTGCGGAGGGTCTCGTGCTCTTGAGGGATGCTCTTCTGGCCTAGGTCCGACTGTACACCCAGGTACGCAGGGGTGTGCACAGCACGCACGGCATGGACAAGAGGAGAGATCCGATCGGGACCAAAGAGCGGGCCACGGAAGCAGACGACGCATGATCGTGTTCTAGGTCATGGCCTTGCCGATCGGCGCGGGCCCTCGCACCCGCTTTTTCCCCCCCCCCCCCCCCCCAAGTGCAGTAGCTCTTGAAGAGTGGTGTTCTTCTGGCCCAGGTCCGAGTGCGCAGACCCCCCGCCGGGGGGCTGTGCGGACGCCCCCCCCCCCCCGAGGTCTTGGCATCGCTCGGACGTGTGCATTTTTCCTTCGGCGAGGACCATCGAGGAGCATCCTTGATCATTTGGCGAAAAAACCACGCACGAAACCAAACGTTTGGTCCAGTCGAAGCCCCCCAGGGGTCGAGGACAGGGGGCTCGCCACCCGTCCCGTGGCAGGCCGAGTTCAACAGCGTGGCCGAGCACTTCAGCTACAGGTCCCTCTCGGACACCAGTCTCGCGGGGAAAGCGTTCTGGACTTCCGCGGGGGGGGGAGGAGCAGAGGAGGCTTCGGTAGCAAGCCATGAGAGCCGTCTGTGCCCTCGCAATAACCCCGCCTATAGAAAAATGCATTAGCATGTGCCAGCGCCTGGTGATCGATGGGGGCGCGCTGGTTTAACGTCGACCGGCGTCGATCAGCGCCGATGTGGCGTCGACCGGCGTCCATTAGCCTCGGTGAGCGTCGATTCGCAAGAGCCAGCAAGATTGCATGGGAGACTCCCTCCTTCCACCCTCAGGTGCGCCTCGTGGGCTGGAGCGTGCACGGGTGGCCTTTTTCAGCTCACATAGACCCTGAAGCCATCAAACGGGATGTTGCTCGGAGGGAGGGGCAAGGGACGAAGAGGCAGGAGAGAGGGAGAAGGAGGAGAAGGAGGAGGAGGAGGCATGAAGTAGGGCGGAGGAGCAGGCGGCATGAAGTGGGGAGGAGGAGGA